CAAGTGTTAGTTAGAATTTGCCATAAAAATCTAAACAATAGTGTATAAATTTCAATTAGTTATAAAAAAGCATGGTTTTCTTTCTTATTACTTTGGCCTTTGGCAATCATAACTACAGGCTCACATTCCCCTTGAAATTCCTTAGCATCTTTGTATTCTCTCCCCTTCAAGAAGCTCGTGACTTCGACTTTCGGACTCGGCTTTCCCATCTCCTCATAGTACTGTTAATTACCACCATACGATGATTTAGCTAACTCAGTAGAAATATATAACCAACTTCTTAAACAAAATAATGAACCATTTTTTTATATTACCTTCACAATGTCACTCCATCTTTCAGACGAGTAATCCGAGGCATCGAGCGAGTTAAGTCCTCCCGCCAAAACGTGAGGTTGATCATCGTTCGACTGAATAATCGTTTGAATCTGTTTAATTCTCCAGCTTTCGTCCAAATGATCTAGCTGAGTGCAGTAAATGTTCAACTCCCCTGTCCATGGCACATCGATTGTGGCCTTTATAACATTCCTGTCTCAAATGAGTATGAGAAAGCAAATTAGTCTATTAACTAAATGCAAAAATATTTACTAAACTATGCAAAAATAATAATATACTTCAACTGACCTGAAATCCTTGTCATCACATATTTTGTCAACTTTCCACTTCTTAATGGGCCATCTCGACAAAACGGCATTGCCGTATTCCGGAGCCCAACTCTCGGCAAAAACGTAATTCATCCCCAAAGCCCGAGCCAAATCCGAGAGAGGCCTCATATCTTTTTCCTCCTCTGCCTTTACGTCTTGTAAAGCCAAGACATCAGCATCGACTTCTTTAAGCACGTCGAAAATCGTCTGCCCTCCGAACAAACTAGCCGAGATACATATCGGAGACCTCATCACCAAATTCTGCGCCATCGAGATCTCGTTTTCCGGAAGGTTGATCGAGACGAACTTGGTTTTGTTCTGTTTAGCGCTCGTGGGCCCGTTTTCTTGATTTTCGGATTGTTTGAGTATTCCCTTGGGACGACGAGGGCTCGGTGAGTTTCTCGGTTTTGGAGATTCTTTGTTCTCTTCGGGTTTTGGGACAGCTGGAGCCAAGGAAAATAAGGCTGCGTTGAAAGTGGCGAGACGAATGGGTTTCATTTTTCGGGTGTTTTGGTTTGGGGATGAGTTTGCTTTCGATTTTCTTAGTTTGGAGTTTTGAAGGTTGCGCAGCCGTCTTATGACGAGTTTAGGCCTCGGGTGTCTCCTCAAGAACCATGGAAGCCTCGACCAGATTTGTCGAAACCTCTTTCGAAGAAAATGCAGCATTTGTGAAAATTGGCTGTTGCATGGGATTTTTGAAAGGTTTCTTGATTGCATGAGGAGGAAAGGAGAAAGAAAAACAGGTTAAATAGACTCAAAGGCTCAAACNNNCTTGGTACAAGTTTGAGCTGTTTCTTAGTTGATGACAACTTGGAGAAATATGTAGTGTAGCCGAGTTAGTTATAAAGAGGTGGGGCTTGAGATGGAAAAAGTTGGTATATGGACAAGAGAAAAGTTTTTTTCAACTGCTCCAGAGAAAATGAGTTACAAGTTGACAAAATGGGAGCTATAATTGAGCAATCTTCTATCTAATGTGACTACAAATTATAACAACTCTCTCCCACCTATGAAGTAGGACTTTTTTGTGGAGGAGTCTTGAATTTGTGTGACATTACCATAAGTATACAATGATCATAATATTTAAAAATGTGCTTGTGTAGCAACCTTGGGATTTGATTTATTATAATAATGTTTGTTTTGTTCCCTTTGAAAAATTTGAAAATATTCCTTTGGTCAATGCTTTGTGCTTCTACGATGATAAGAATTTTATATATTGTTAAGGGATTATTTATTAATTTGAGAAAGACCATATTTATAATTATACACAATGTTAGAGAAAGTTTATTTCTCTGTATTTTTTCCTTCTTAGTATTGCAAGATAATATAAATAATCATAAGGAATTCATTGAATTCTTTGTGTTTTGTTTCATTTCATTCATCATTTCTTTCTCTTGCTGCCTTTTTTGTTTTAATTATTTATAGAGATTGACAAACTATTGTTGATGCATAAAGTAGAGCAAAACGTCTCGTTCTTGTCTTCAACTTCTATTTTCAACACGAAGTAGGTTAAACAATATTGACACTAACAGAGGTATTAGAATAAAAAAATAACATAAGCTGGTGAACTGAAAATCCTTCATTACTTTTAATTTTTTATAGTAAATAAACCATCGTGAAGAACTTTGACTTGGACTTGATAATAACGAGACAAAGACCATGAAAACGATGCTTGTGAAAATCATAATAATAAAATGGTCAATTTGTATCAATTTACGTGACTCTCTCTAGCGCCAATCAAGCACCATCGTCATGCGTCCCTAACGGTGTCTAAAGTTGTTAACTTCTATTTAGGCCTCGTTTGTTTTTTCTGATGGGATATGACAATTCTATTTATCCCGCCATTATTCATCGTTTGGATATCATGACTGCGGGCCTGTGGATATCTTATGGCATCTCAATGTAATCCCGGATATAAATATATGTGTGGTAACTCGGCCCCGGTGTGTTATGAATCGTTTTTAATTATTTATGCCCGTAATTAATTAAGTGAATGAAACATTACATGCAGTGTAACATTTTTTATCCTAACCACAAATAATGGTTGGGGGGACATGAGTAATTTTATCCGATCCGAATAGCACAATCCAATTTTGCATTAATTTAGTCATAGTAGTCGATGGGCCCCCCAAAGTAGTCGATGGGCCAGTTACAAGGGTCCAAGACTGACAAGCGTAAGCATGAATACTGGGTAAAAAAAAAAAATGAACAATTTGAAGAATGCTCGAATAAGATGATTAATAAGGGATAGGTATACGGGCCAAGTACGACCTAAGAGCAGTCCGACTAGTTTGAGTAAATCGGCAGGATGGTCAGACATCAGACATCAGAGGTCGGAGAATTACCAGGTCGATAATAACCTCACAAATTAGATAGCTCACCAATAGGTCGAGCTAAGGCTCTTGACTAGCTTGATTGAATCTCGACCTTGAGACATATAGGTCGATGTATGACCTAATACATAAACTTACTCAACTGAATGTTAAAGCGACCTACTTCGAGAGAAACCGAGCTAATAGCACAATTAGGCTATCTAATGAGGTAGACTAATGCGAACAACCACATAATGAATAAGAAAAAATATAATTAAGATAAGGACACGTGGATAGGACCACGTGGAGTAACAAAATTTGGCAGTTCGGACAATACGAACGGGTAGCTCGGGCACTCCAACAGCTTAGTCGGGCAATCTTGGGCAACAAAGTAACACTTTTATATAAAAGGGTAAGGTATGATTATTTACACCCTCTACACTTCAAACATTCTATACTTACATACCTTGTATGCATCACCTTCTTCTCAAACACTGACTTGAGCGTCAGAGTTTCTACTCCAAATCCGACACTGTTTTACAGGTCATTGAACCCGTCGAGAGCGGACCGAAGGACGTTCAACCCAGTTGATGTTATTTGCAATACCAATGATAATGTAATAATCTATTAATATATAAAGAGGAAATAATATTTACTGGAAATAGCAAGAAAAAATCAACAAAAAAACATTTCAATTCCCGCCTAAACAATAAAACTTACTAAATAAGGTAGTACTTTTTTGGGCTTTGAATTTTTTCAAAAATTTGAACTGTTTCATTTCGGTTTCTTTGGAAAGAAAATCGGGAGAATAATTCGGCCCTAAGTTTGTGTAGTGTATCCGATATGCACTTATTTTTTTTAACAAATTGGCAATAATATCGCCCCTAAGTTTGTGTAGTTTCTATCCCATANTGGTAATTAAAAAATGATTAGTTTGATAATAAAAAAAAATACGATTTTAGCTCATTTAACAAAATAGATTAATTCTTTCCAATTTATTTTATGCCAAAAAAAATACAATTTAAACAATTTGATTAATTCCCCAATTTATTTTATGCTAATAAAAAAATTAAGAAAATACTTAATTTAAACAATATTTCACTAATTTAAATCGTACAATTTCACTTTATTGCTTTAAACAATAGTTTACCCATTAAAACGGGACAATTTAACATGTGAAAATCTGTGTGAATACTTTTTTAAATCTGTGCGAAGATTTTTTTTATTCATGTTTATTTTATAATCAGAATTAAAATTAATTTTAAACCTAATTACCAGTACGTTTAATCGCCACAGAATCCCAAACATATGAGCAATAAGCATAGTGACAATACAATCACAAATCCACAATGTCGGTTTGTATACCTTGAAATTAAAACATTACGAAAAATAATCCCAATTTTCTGACCAAAAATACTTTCCAAGATTCTTGCTAAAATAAAAATCGAAAAAAGAAACGTAATGCCAATACAATCTCAAATCCAGTATTCACAATGTCAGTTTGTAATCTTCTAAATGATAATTACGAATAACAATACCAAATCCACAATCATAAAGGAAACATAATTTGAAAATATTGAAACTCTTATTGATAGAGACTTGACAAAATAAAAATTCTAAAACATAAAACTGTGCAAACGTCCACTATAGTTAAGAAGTTAAATTTGCATATAAAATATCACATTCAGGTCTCAAATAAATATTTACACTGATCTAATTAACAAAGTAAATAGTATTTTAACCTAATTAAAATTCTGAAATAGTATACTAAGAAAGTAAAAATACTTTCCAAGATTCTTGCTAAATATTTATCGAAATTGTATGGAATCTTTTTTATGTTATTATTATGCACTAAAAGTCGGATTTATTGCATGAAATCTTTTTATGTTATTATTGTGCACTAAAAGTCATTTTTTTTTATTAATCTATTAATATATAAAATGACAATGATATTTACTTGAAATAGCAACTAAAAATCAGCAAAAAAATATTTGGTTTCCCGCCTATAATATTTACTATATTGAGTAATATTTTTTGCCAAATTTTGAAAAATCCCGCCTAAATTAATGTACATAATCATTTTGGTCAAATATTGCGGCTATTACCTTTATTATTTGCATGATTTAAATTTGGAACATAATATTTTAACAAAACTTGCAGCTATTACATATATTAGTTGCATGGTTTAAATTTGATATATAATTTATTGAAAAAAAAAATAAAAAAAATTATTTAAATTTAAAAATAAAAAATAATTATTCAATAACTCACGGGTAAATATTAACTTGGATGTAAACGAAATATTCAATTATTTATAGTTTAATAAGTTACTCAATAACTTACGGGTCAATATTAACTTGAACGTAAATGAAATAGTCAATTATTTATAGTTTAATAAATTACTCAACTACTTAATTTTTTTATTTGAATAGTTTATACAATAATAAATTATTTTAAGTAATGAAACAATATGAATTTTATATTTATACTTATTATTCACATAAGCTGTTAAATATATGATAACATTTTACCAAAACAACTATTTTATAAAATCACATATAGTCAAATCGATTTTCTGAATAAAAATTTTGAAATGGTACTTATCTTGAACCGAATATAATGTAATTTATTATCAGTTATGTGCACCGCACGGGTTGCATACTAATTTTAAATAGACATTTTTGTATAATTTTGCACAATTTAAACTTTATATAATATTTTTAATAAATTAATATAGGTAAATTGTATTACATATTGATTCCATATTTTTAATTTATGAATATTATTTAATAAGAATTTTTAATTTATAAATATTAATGAATATCTCTTACCCGTGCACTGCACTAGTGATATGGTATATGACATTTAAAAAATAGTAAAATATCACTCACATGTAACAAATATTTAAGACAGGCATGTTGATAAATAACGGGGAACATAAGACTAGCAATCAAACTTTATGCTTGCCTCTTACAGGTTGGAAAATTCAAGGGGCACTTTTAGTTTCATAAGATAGCAAAGGATTCAGATAAACCAAACCCCACCATTAACTTATCTGCTTGCCTCTTACAACTTGGAAAACCATCATCTTTTTCGAATTCTACCGAAATAGATACGATGCATTCCATTGACAGATATTTTAAATTCGTATCCTTTCAAGATTCAATACCCGTATGTAAGCTCTCCCAGCACAAACCCTTTTAGCAAGAACAAATGTGCGGTTGATGCTTCCTACCTTGTTGGAATTTCGGCATCCGAGCTTCTATTCTAATCTGCCTTCAATGTGATCAAACAATGTATCCAAAAGGTTCCCAGAAGCTTCATCTTTGCCACCTTCATTAAAAAATCCGTTGGCTGCATTTTCCTTTTTCAGCTTTCTTTCTTCAGCAATGGCTTCTGCTGTTTCTGTGCAAAATCTTTGCCGCATCTGATTCGTGGGCTTTTCAGAAACTATAAACTTGTTTCCGTCACGGGTTCTCTCAGAGAATCCAGCCCAAACTGAACCAATATTTGATAAGACAGAGAAAACAAGAATTTAAAAAAAAAAAAGTTTGTGAACAAGCTTTACTATATCACGAAAATGGATCGTACAACTTCTCATCTATAAGGTGCATCACACATGGAAGAGTTCAATTGATGAGGCTGAGGCTTTAAGATATCCCTATACTGTATTTTCATTTCATGATCGTTTTTTCTATTTTTTACTTAAATTTGGACAAAAAATGCATGCGAATTCTAAAATAACTTGCAAGAGCACAAAATAAAGCAACAGTGAAGAAGAAACATCTTTGGAAAAAGGCATTCCCGTAAAGAAGTAATATAGCATGTCGGGTGGTTTGAATCGAGTAATGCTAATGTTAATACGGGTTGTTCGCAAAAGCTTTAAAGTACTTGTAGACTTTTGACTGAAAGAAAGCAGTAGTTTTTAGATCCTCCAAGAAGCCTATGATAGGGCAAATGCAAGACAAGACGGGTTGTTTTGATGAACTTACAAACAAAATCATCACTTCAAAAATTTATTCATCGTGACAATCTTCTTCAAGTTACTGTTTCATTGGCGAAAACTACAAGTTTCAGATTCTCGACTACTCTTAGCTTTTACTACCAAAACAAAATCGCTATTTCAAAATGAAGAAGCAAATACCAACTAGAGAGAGTTGATAATTGAACCTGCATAATGATGTAGAACAATGGAAGCAGCCACAGTGACATTCAAAGAAGCAGTTCCACCCCCATATTGCGGGATGTATACGAAAAAGTCGCATATCTCACACTCTTTTTCCGAAAGCCCTGTTCCCTAAAATTCAACATATCACAATTAATACAGGCGCGTGCACTTCATGCTCACCAAGCAAGTAAAAATTATGAAGGACAAAATTGCAAGTTGATTGGCACATCAAAAAACTGTTACACCTCGACATTTGTAAGAGATTTTCCATGTTCAGTACCAAGGACATGGATATTGAGTTGGATTTTTCAGACAGAATGAATTGAGTTCAGTAGCCGACCTCATTGCCAAGAAGAAAGGCGGTGCTCTTTCTGAAAGGGTGCTCGTTCACTGGCATGGCATTTTCCGTAATCTCTACTCCGCATATATCACAGTCCCTCTCCTTATCAACACACAAAGAACCCAAATTAGACCAATAGCCAAATTTTTCATATCCCTATTCCATTTGCACTTTTTATAGCTGCGAATCATCAAGTAGTATAAAAACAACGACATCTGCCAGAACTCAGTATTTTAAATTCAGATTGAGCTAATTTTGGCACAAGCTATGCAATTCAGCAGTTATCTGAAAGAAAAGTAAAGAAGTAGTAGCAGCAATTCATAAGAATCAAATGGGACTTAAAAACTAAAGAAAGACAATTCTTGATAGTCGATCGGTACAAGATGATCTTGAAAACAGAGAAAATACATCCAAACACAATGATCTTATTCCTTATTCACTATAAAAATTCTCAGTTGCTCTATGTTCATCAAAGACCTGCAAATACACCATAACCACACACACACACGCGCGAATCACAGTGAAAAGATAAACGACTTGCAATAGCAAAAAAGATGCAATTTTTTCATCCTAAACAAGTTGGGAAGGGGGTAGGTTGGAACCTTGAGGTAGGAACAGGCGAGGGACAGAGAGTGGAAATGGCGGAATCGGAGGTGCGAGGTTGAACCATGGCTCCCAAAGGCGTTGAAATCGCGCCTCCCGACAAGTACCAGCTCCGCCACGCCGAACGCGGTGGCGCTGCGGGCGAGCGTCCCGACGTTGTGCCTCTTCGCGATGTTATGCACGACCACGTAGCTCTCGTACACGTCCTTCTTCTTCTTCCCCTCGTTCTCCATCTACGTAGCTAGTGGTCTCACGGCAGCGACGGTGTAGTCGGCGGCGGCGGGCTTGAGGTTTTTACTTATTGGGGATGGTTTATTTCGACTGGTGAAGTTCGATTGACCTTCATTAGAAGTTGAAGGTTATTCTAAAAATTCCTCTCCAAAACGGAAAATTACAAAACGCATCGGCCTAAATTTGCTAAAATTGCATTTTTAGGTCCAACGGATTGTCCCTGGCGTTGGGGCATCGGTTCGGGTCGAGTCAGCCAAGAGAGAGTTTCTCGGGCCTCTCGGCCCGTGTGTTGGGGCTGTGGGTTGACTAGTGGAAGTAGGTGCAATGCACGAGTAATTCAAATAAGCTCTGCGAATTAGACAGATCTAATTTTTAAATTAATTAGTCAAAGTAATAAGAACAATGCTACAAGTACATAATAAATGTATATTGAGGTATACATAACACTCACATGAAGTGAGGTCTATCTATAGCATTTTTCAATTAATAATATATAAATTATAGATATTATGAAATAAATATTTACAGATAAATTATATTTATAATTGTTAGTGTTGTGGCCCAAATGACAATTTAATTGATGACCCAATATTTTAATAGTTCTTTGGCCCAATCTCTTTGCCTTGAGCCCGGTTTGACAACCCACTTTGATCAAAGTTGATCTTGGCCCTTCATTCTTTCTTGATCACCTGCTGCATCCCTAAGGATAAAATTAGAGTTCTCTTAAGAGCATCCACAATGCTTTGGGTTCAATTATAAAAAATTGTATGCCACCTAAGAAATAGACTTAGTCTAAAAGAATGTATTTTCCAATGCAAATAAAAGTAGACTGGGTCCTGCTGATGTGGCAGCCAGAAAAAGAGACCCCGTCTACCCTTAAGTCTATTTTAGACCCAAGTAGAGACCTAGTCTCTTTGCATTGGAGTGAGTTTTATCAATTTTACATAATTTTATCCATGTCATCCAAGACTTGGGTTTATTTACATGTCACGTAGGTAATACTAGACCCAATGCATTGTAGATGCTCTAAGCAGCTATCAACCCTAAAAGAGTCTCTATCCAAAGCCATCTTGTTAGCAGCCTTGAGAATATTCAGGAAATTCAAAATATTAGTCTGTTATATTGAGTGCAGGTATAAGGAGATATCAGTTTTGCTATGGAATTATCGGATGGCTCGCCTTATGGAGTCATCCACACTTATTCACCAATAGTGTATTGACACGTGTCCTGCAATAAATACACTTTGGACAGGTGTCAATACATTAAGTGGTGGATGACTCCATAAGAAAACCATCTGATGGCTCCATAGAATTTTTGTAGGAGATATATAGCCACCTTAAGAAGCCCCATGAGTGATTTTTTGATACCAGACAGCATTTCAAAAATATGATTCTCTCTCTCTCTCTCTCTCTCTCTCTCTCTCTCTCTGTTGTTCTCGCTCCTCTCGCTCTCGCTACTTTTCAATTTTTTCGACTTGGTGTCCAGTGATTCAATCCTCTCTTATCTTATTGAATTCTTTGTGATTATGAGATTGTGAGTGTGTAAGGATATTGAGTGTGTGAGCCGAGTGTGTGAGCTGAGTTAGGTTGTGAGGTAATTTTGGGAGTTTTTGTGTACGGGCTGAAATTCGGGCCGAGAGTTGTAGAACTGTAGGTGGTGTTACCCTGAGTTTACAGTGCCAGAGTTATTGAGGCCGAGGGTTCAATTGATCGGTTCTTTGTCGGCTATTCGGTGACTCGTTTTGTGGGCTTGACAAAAGGGGACTGAGCCTGCTCCATTTCAACCCATCATCGTGGAATCAGTGACATTCGGGCCCTCGTACAAGAACACGGATAGGGTGTACTCGTTCCTATTATTTTTCTTATTTATTTTTTCAGCATGTTCAATTTGTTTATGCTCTTAGATTGCTAAATTTTGATTATCTATTGTGCATTTCCGATTTCACCATGAGACGGACAAATCGGGACGAGTTTGGGATCGAAAGGTTGTTGTTCGAGGCCAACTGGGAGCTGTCCGGGATAGAAAGGTTGCTATCGGAAGCCTACCGAGTACTGTCGGGTCGAAACAGCAACTGTTCGAGTCTGTTCGGGGCCAGCCCGGGCCCGGGGAGTCGAGCCAGACGACCACCCAACAATAATTTTTTATTATTACAATCTATTAATTTAGTAAATGTTTAAATCTATTTATTAAATAATTTTAACGTTGTTCTTTGCATACTCAAATCAAATGCGAATAATAAAAACATATCCCATCTATATATTAATTCAGAACGTGCTGAGCCTAAGTGACATGCTCGCATGTTTCGGGATACTATGTGGCAAAAGTACATGCTTCGTTATTAGGCTTGAGTAGATTTTAATTTACTTCCAATCCAAAAATAATTAGATTCTGATTATCCATAAATATGTTGATTGTTTATGGTCATGTTACATGTATTAATTCCAGTTTAATATCATTTCTTATTATAACCATTGAATTATAAATATATTTTAAAAGTTAATAAATTTTGTATTTTTTATCAGTTATAAATATATAATATATCAATTTAATCATCTCTTGATGAGTTTTGATTCAACGTCCATATTGTATTATAAAAAAAAATTATATTGATCTTTATAACAATAATACAATTATTTTTTAATATTAATTAGAAAAATATAATTATTTATCAATTAATATATTTATATTTAAAGTAGTTATATGATATAAGTTATAAAAATTGTTATAATATAACACATGTAAGTCGCACAACTAACAAGGGTCATTCTAAAATATATAATAATATACATTTTTTATAAAAAAGTAAATAAAATTAAAAATAATTTTTCTCACTAATTTTAATTTTTAAGAATAATTTTTTAGCAAGCACCTGTGTAATTATTATAAAATAGGAAATATGAACATTGCCACTAATTGGTTGAGCAAATAACTCGTAAAAATTATTCTATTGTAATGATTTAGAAAATTAAATTACATTATACAAAAATATAAAAAGATAAAAACTGATGATACAATAGGAGATGTTAAATTTTATTTATTAAATTGCAGTTATTTGAATTGAATTATTTTTATATATTATTTAAGAACAATTAAGTTTTTTGTTTAAAATATTTGAGTTAAATTTAATTAATTATTTAATTTATATTATTTATTATAAAAAAAAAAATCAAACTAAATTAAACGTTTTGATTGAGTTATTGTTTGTTTAAATTTTATATTGATTAAAATAATTTCCATCAAATTATAAATATTGAAAAAAGTGACTGCTACAAATAATAATTGTAGGAGATAACTATGTTGAAATGGTAAAGGGTAATCGTGACCAAGTTTAAAAAGAAAAACGAATATTTAGGAAATATAGGTGCTACTTTTTAACAAAGTACAAAATTTATTTTGGTTGTAGTTTTAGTATTCAAAATTATGGTTGCTCAATTACATGTGGGATATTTAGGATAAAACTTGAATTTCAAATTTCGTAAAATTGAAAATTTTAGATGGAAATTCCATTAATATTTAACGTAAATCCTTAGACTTTTTAGAGTTTTTATATATAAATAAGATTATCGGGTCCAATGCTATAAAAATCGCTAGATGGTTGTCGTGAGAGTATATTAATAAATTTATTTCATATAAATTTATAAGTCACATTCTATAATCTATGTAATATGATCAAATACAAACATTATCTAAAATATAATATATTTACTTTGTAATTATTTTTCAATTTTAATATAATATTATTTTTGTACTTTTATAACTAATTGTTATAATTAATTATAAAAAAAAATATGTTGGATATAAAAAAAAAAAGACTGACATCAACGTTGTGTTTAACCATCAGACGGTGCCTAGTTGGTCGGGCGCCTAGAAGAGTTGTCAATTATATTAGGTATGGAAATATCCCCTCTATATATAATTTAGAATGCACTGAGCCTACGTGACAAACTCTCATGCTTCGAAATCTTTTTTGGCAAAAAATTATGATTTGGAGTTAGACTTGGATATAAATTAATATTTATATTAATTGTATTTTAATATCGTTTCCTATTATAACCATTGAATTGAAAATATATTTTAAAAGTAAGATAAAATTGTATTTCTTATCGGTTTTATATATATAATATATGAAATTAATCATCTTTTGATAAGTTTGGATTTGACATCCATATTGTATATATAAAATAAATAAACTATATTTATCTTTATAATAATAAACAAATTATTTATTAAAACTAATTAAAAAAATAAAATTATTGAAAATTAATATATTTATGTTTAATGTAGTTATATATTATAAGATAGAAAATTTATTATAATATAACATATATAAGTCGCACAAGTAACATGTGTCATACTAAAATATATAATAATATATACTCCTTCCTATTTTTATTATTTGCCACTTTGGCTTAATTGATCATTAATAAAATAAATGTCGTTTTAGATATTTTGTTCATATTTTCCATTTTTGACCCTCCATGTAATACACATTGTCTCTTCATATCACATCTCTATCGTTTCCCATAACATCCATTAAATAGGGTTAATATTGTCAAGAAAAAAAATATCTTAATTAGTGTGTTGCATTTAAATTGATATTATGAAGTCCGTTTGTATTTTACTATTTATTTATATATATATAATACAAAACAGTAATATATATCCTTATAAATAAAATTTAAATTTATTTATCAAACTAAATTAAATTATATCATCATATAAAAAACTTTCTCCTCTCGTCGCCTCCCCCAAATCCCGTCGCCTCCCCTAAATCCTGTCGTCCGTCTAACAATTTTTCGTCGCCTTCCCCGGTAGGGCCCGGCAAGTACTCGGTGGTGGCTCAACTGGCCTTGCCTCGACCAACAGGTTCATAGCCGAATCCATCCTTATACGCGGCGAACTACCCGAATTGACTTTACTCTAATACCAGTAACCGGCTTTACTCCTGCTCTACCAGGTCCGAATGTGGCATCGCTCTCCGAATGCCCTAGGGCACTACCGTATTCTTTTGCCGCTGGTCAAGCAATACCTCCTATAGTCGTAGATCCCAGCTCCAGAGAAAGCATCGGAGCCGGAAACAATCGATCTGAGGAGTACCGCCGTCCAAAATCTGAAGCATACCCTCGGGCATGGTTCAGTCATGTTTAACCTTGAATGCTATTAATAAATTCTACAGCAATAGTCCCTCGGACTCGGAGACGGCCCTCTTCTATGAGATGCGATGCTCTGAGAAGAGCTTTTTCGTCGGGGAGATGCTAGCGCCGTTTTCCGGTTTCAGCCTCGGAGCTGGGAGTGAGTGGCGGCGGCTGTTTCTCCTCCGGTATCTCCGTTGCGGCGGCCCTCTGGCGCTCTCAGGGAGAGGGCTGCGACCCCAAATTCCTGATCTAGGGTTTGGGGTGGAGACTTTGTCCGACCATTTTGTTCTTCTTGGCCTTAATCTGGGTGTTGAAGTCGCGGTCGCCGGCTCTGGTTCGGGGCGATATTCGGCTCTGGTTCGCGGTGTTGGTCGGCTCCGGTTCTGGGCGTCAATTTCATGGTCGACGGGCCTGGTTCAGAGCGTTCGTCGGCGTTTGTTGGGCTGGGCTATTTGCTCGAGGCTCGGACCATTGTTGTTAACTGTTTTGGTCTGGCATTTTGGTCTCCGGGTGTCAGTGGAGTTGTTCGTCTGGACGAGGATTGGGCCCAATGGCTCCCGACACAGTTAGGCATTCTATTGCAGTTTCTGGGTCGGGCTCCTGGGCTGTGATTCTACCATTGTTGTGCTTGGTGTGGTATCCCGATTGGGGGAGGGGCTTTCGTTATTGTTTTCACTTTTGGTGTTGTTTTGTTCTGTGTTTGTTTTGTTTAGTTTCGTCTGTTGGGTAGGACTGTATTTTTGGTCTGGGCACTTTGCCTCTGTGCTTATGTTCTGTATTTTCAGTCTGGGCCGTTGGCCTCAGTTTGAGCGGGAGCAATTTATTATCCTGTGGGGATCAGCTCCTGTCTCTATTCTCCTGTGAGGAGCTTTTTGTTGTAGTTTTCTTTGTGTTTGTTGTGTAGTTGTCTCGAGTGTCTTATTCTGGTTTCTAGCGTTTGCTAGTGTCGGGCTTCTAGGCGGTCGTCAGACTTGTCCTCCCATTTTATTCAGCTTTGGGCTGCGCTCCAAGTTGTATCTTTGCACATTTGTGCGTGTTTTATATTATCTCTATCGTTTTGGCAAAAAAAAAAATTAAATTATATCAAATAAAACTATAAATTATATTATAAAGTAATAGAAATTGGTATGTATTCTTTTAAAAATGATATTTATTTCAAATCTAATTGGTATGTTGTCAATGTAATAAAAATAAATAATTATTTATATAAATTTTAAAATTACATAGAAAGTTAAAAAACTGTGAAGGACGACTGATACGACACTTGATGTATTAGACATCTAATTGAGTAAAAAAAATTAATCTATTTTGTTTAATATTAAATAAACATATTCTACACGTATGCATATACATATCACCATATTATTTCTATTTATTTAAGATATATATTTTTGTACTTATGTAATAGTAAATAATATCGATATTTTATATGATATAAGTAAAAAAATTCAACACGGGTTGACATTTTTATTTAATGTACATGTATTTAATTATTATGATTAAAAAAATATAATTTGATTATTTAATTAAAACCCAAAGTAATGTTTTATATAAAATTAAATTATTTTAGTTTTTAAAAGAAAATAAAAAATTTAATATTTTTTACGAAAGCTTTCTAATTCAACACCTGTGTAATACACGATTATTGTGCTAGTATTATCTAAAACTCAAATTAATAACATTGAATAACAAAGCCACATCACTGGCACCGTAAAATCGTGGACGAGCTGTAACAAAATAATTCGACTTATGTAAGTTAATAGTTAATTTTTTTTTTTATTTTTTATTTTTTTATTTTTTATTGTGTTTATACTATGCTTATGAGGCAGGCATGTGCAGATGACATCCTAATGCGCATGCATGCGCAGTCACTCTTAAAATAATTGTGATTAGAAAGATGCTTGAGATCATTAGATACATAAACAAAGGAGTTACGCTTTTTATCAATTAAATCAGTAGTCTATTTAACCAACATTTTTTTTTTTTCAATTCATAAATTTGTTAAGTCATGCTTGGTAACCTTTTTCTCCCCCTTCTTTTTAAGGTGGAAACTTGTATTAAATACTCTTTTCTCCTAATTTATTTCACAAACTTGTAATGTATTTAATTTTAAAAAGGACAACATAAACAAAGAGACTACATAAATCAACCCCATTGTCTTATACAAAGTGAGTACGAATTAAGGTGTTTATCAATTGATGTGACAACACTTAATGTAATGTTTTTTAAAAATCACGAAATGTTGACAATCAAACTCGAAACTTCTCATCAAGCTAAGTTCAATTTTTTTTAGCTCGGCGTGCCACAATATGTGGGGTTCGATATTATGGATATTTGAAAACACACATCCAACCTACTAATTTACCCCATACAGACTTATATATCTTTTTTTGTCTTGGACAAGTCAACCCCACACAATTATGATCAACCCATGCAATGACATCAATAGGCATGCACAAAACCAATATTTTTGTATTCCCTAACAATGAACATAAGAAAAATTACAAAATA